AGTTCCCACGGGCCCCCCCAATCCCTATCCCCCGCCTCCCTGCCACACCCCAGTCCCTGTAACCCTCTGTATCTCCCCACCCCACCCAGGGCCAGCCCGGTACCCGGTACACAGCAGGGACTCATTAAGTGAGCGAATGAACAAATGGATGCACGATGGATAAAGGACACCCAGGGTGGGACAGGTTGCTGACAGTAGGAGACTCAAGTTCAAGTGCATTTTGGCCACTGATTTACTGTGTGATCTTAGGTTAGAAATGTGACCTCCTTAGTCCTGGTTTTTATCTGAGAAATGGGTACAAAACCCCCTATCTGCTTACCTCCCAGAGCTGTTTCAAGACTCAGATTGCACTAATTTGAAAAAGATACTGAGACTATGTCAACAGTCAGCAAGAAGGGCTGGCAGGTGGTGGAGTGCTTAAGTGCTGGATTCCTACATGGTTGACTGCAGTTCGAGTCCTGAACCCGGCAACTTGAAACTCACACTGAGTGCGTATGCATGTGTGGCAAAATCCTGAGAGGAGAATGGAAAGAGAGTGCAGCGTGGCCATCCCTCCTAGGGGGGTAATTTCCTGCTTTCTGTATCTCCATCTCTCTCTGTCTCTGGTGTGAGTGCATGTATCCTATAGCAAAAATTTCTTATAAAAAAAAAAAAAGTCAGCAAATAAAAGCGTTATGGGGGCCAGATGGTGGTACAACGGTAAATGGGTAAAATACAGAACTGTGAGACTGACCCACGAGGAGAGGTTCCAGGTTCTAGATACACTTCCGGAGACCTTCCTGAGCAGGCCAGGCACATGTGTGCTTATGACCCAGGGTTGGCTGAGGCTAGGGGTGGATCATGGTGTCAAGACTCTCTAGCTCATGGAATAAATAAATAAACTTTAAAGAAAGGGTCTCGTGATCTATTAGTCATGTCAGCATGGGCACAGGATAAGGGAGAGAGAGCACGTGTATTTGCTACCCCTGGAATAGGAGAGCTATGATCCTGTGAGTGAAGCTTAGGTTGTTCTATAGATCAGACGTGTGTCTGAATGCAATAAGAAAATCCTCTGTAATTGATTAACAATGTCTGCCATGGGCATGCAAGGAAAAAGTGGTAGCACACATGTCATGGAAAATGGGTATTATGAAAAAACTGCATGGATTTCTTTTTTATTTATTGCATCAATATTAACTCATACTTTAAATTCACTTTTTCCATTTTTTCCAAGATCCCGCATATATCTGCCATTCCTGAGTTAATTTACAATTTTTTTTGAGAGAGATTTTTGCTAATGGGTGCATGCTAGAGAGACAGAGAGACAGAGAGACGGAAAGTAAGAAATACCGCCCCCCCACCCAGGGGATGGCCACACTGCAATCCCTTCTCTTCTCCCCTCAGGAGTTTGGGCATACATGCACACATGCCCAGTGTGTTTTAAGCACTGAGTCTGGGACTCGAACTGTGGTTGACCACATGGGAGTGCAGCAATATAACCATTACACCATCTGCTGGTCCCAGTAATTTGCCATTCTGTGAGCACTTTAAAAATGGTACAGGGCAGACCAAACAATGAGGCAAAGCATGTCCCTCATGGATTTCAAGCAGGACTCTCCAGAGACAAAGTTCAGACCCGGCTAGACCACATCTGCAGAGGAAACTCACCTCTATGATTTCCAGAACTGAATTGGCAAAATTGACGTTGAGAATCTTGGGCAGGGGAATTCCAACATTCAGGTCCACTGTACAGAGAGAATGATTGTCGGAGCCAGCAGGTGGCATGTTGGTTAAGGTGTGGATTCCCACATGGCCAACTGAGACTCGAATCCTGGACCCAGTGGTTTGAAAATCATAACAAATAAATAGTTAAATAAATAAATGTTTAAAAATAAAATAATTTTAAAAGCAAGAGAGAATGGTTGAGAGCAAAAATATGGGTGTAGGGGGTGTCTCAGACGTTAAGGACCCTAGGACCCAACTAATCCTGCTCTATTGCTTTCCTCCAGCCAGTTGCTTCTCTTCCTGGGGATATAGCTTTATTCTGGAAAACTATTTATCCTCTTATGTCCAAACAAAAATGTCCTTTTTCTGTATGTGTCAGTGGCTCTCCTCAGTAAGGCCACCTAGAGGTTCTATCAATCCCTTGTGGACCCTGGGTTGTGTATATTATAATCATTTCTTTATACAATTGATTTCCCTCTGGACTGTGGAAGCAGAAGGCAGGACCCAGGTCAGATCCACTTTTGGGACCACAGCCTGGCATGACCTAAGTGCTATCAACATCATTTGAGTGAAATATTGGTGCTTCAGTTTCTGCATCTTAGAAATGGGGGTTCATCTCTCTATGGCCTCAGTGTCCCCATCAGAACAACAGAGAGAGGCAGCAGATCCAACAGCCCTAAATTCAGACACTCCACGTGTCCGAGGAGGAAGCAAAGGCTGCCGTACCATTGACCTTCGGCACATACGCTGCCCGGACCACGTCGCTGAGCCAGTCTTCTAACCGGGACGCCTGCAGCAGAGCACACAGAGAGGGGGAGAGTGGGTTTGCAAGGAAGAAAACCGTCCCAGGGAGGGGAACCCAGAGGCCCAGCTGCCCCAGCTGCCCCTGCACCAGAGGACACAGGTCCTGGCAGGCTGTCCACCGTAACCCTAAAGGGGATTCTGTGACTAAGCCTGCCTTCACCCTTGGTCCCATAAGCATGGAAGAGAAGCCTTCCAGAAGGGTATGGGGCCTGCAGGGGGCGGTGTCTGAGAAAGGGGGAGGAAAATGTGCCCGGCTCTAGTTGAACTCTGAGATCTAACCATAGATTCTTGTTCAGTTTAGCAACCTTAGAATGTTCTAGAAACTGAGCCCATTGTGAAATTTCAGGACCTCAGAACTCCATGAGAGGCAGAAACCTTGGGCTCACTGGGACTCTGAAATGTTAGAGTTCCAGAACTTTCTTCCTTGTGTGAAGTTCCGGCATGTTGGACCCTGGTGAGGTTCTAGATATTTACAACTCTGTGAGGTCCTAAGACCTTGGCAGAGCCTAAGGTTCACATCCCTGAGATGATCACACCCCAGCCCCGATACCCACATGCTCGACATGCCAAAAGTGAGCTTAGCCACCAGCTCAGTCATAGGCCTGTGACCCGTTGCCATCCCATGCAACCCCTACCTGAAGCTCTCTTCACCCTCCCGGGAACTTACATCAAAGGCGTGGGTGAAGGAGGAGGCCAGCTTGACACTGAGCCTGGTGGGGAGAAGAGAGATGCTGAGCACCCTGGCTCCCACCCTGGCACCTGCTGGGAGCCGCTCTGCCCCACCCCAAGCCTCCCACCCCAGCTTGTCCCCACTGTACCCCTTTAGGGTTACAGGCCCCATTCTGCCTCTGTCCGACCATCCCTCCAAGACTCAGTTTTCTTATCTATGAAAGTACTGAGACTTCAAGGCTGTCGCCCCTGAAACGAGGGCACTTTGGAACCTTGGCCTCACTCCTAGCTGTCCGAACGTTTACTTGGGTAATGGCTGAGCCTCTCCAAGGACTGCCCGGCCCCTTACCCCTAGATTGAGCCCTGGACAGAGTGCCCTGCACACAGCAGGTGCTCACTAAAGGCAGTGACCTACAGGTGGAGCAAATCTGGCCCTGCCTCCTGAAGGGCTGAGACATGAAGTGGCACCAGGAAGCCCAGGTGAACCCAGGCAGCAGGGTAGAAATGGGACAGCATGGAACGTGCAGGGGGCTGTGGTAGCAGAGGGGCCCAAGGTGGACACTGAGACTAGGTGGGTAAGCCCTGGGGGTCTGTGGCTCAGGACAGGCAGACTACACAGACCCTAGGCAAGGCCCTGCCACCAGGGGAGGGCAGACAGGCCCCAGGCCCTGCTCCAGCCTGAAAAGTGGAGTCCATACCAAGACCTGCTCCAGAGACAGCCTGGAGCGAGCCTGGGCGGCTGTGGGGCTTGCAAACTGTGCAGTGCCGTGTGCTAAGGACGGACTGTCACCACTTCATCATCTTGGGCGCTATGTTGTCATGATGCCTGTAGCCAGCTGGATGGGGGACACTAGAAAGCAGGGAGCCCACGTGAACTGCTGGGGGTTATACAGCACTCGGGACTCCTGGAGAGCCTTGGGCTGATCACTCGAAGTTCCGAAGGTGGATTTATTGCTAGACACAGGTTTGGAGCAGAAAGGGGAGGCAGTGGTAAAAGCACACACCAAGCCCCGCCTCTCTGAGCCCAGCCTCTCATCTGCAAGGTGGGTTGACTCCCTTCCCTTTCGGGCAGGCCTGAGAGCTAGGACGTTGCTGGAGAGACATTCGGATCTTAGTTGATGCTCAGTAAATAAGAGGTGGTTCCTGCTGGTCCCTAATTCCTTCCTTAACCAGAAAAGGACCCTGTTCCCAAGCCCCCACATTACCGTTCCAGGGACAGGGTGATGTGCAGCTTGGTGGCCGAGGGAGCCAGGTGGGCATTCAGAGTCATAGCCTGAGTGGAAAAGCAGGCAGGGTTACCCCTGTGTTTGGAGAAGGGCCTTGGGGACAGGTCCGATGGAGGACTTCTGCCGTCTGCTTTTGCCACTGACCCTTACAGAGAGGCCCGGTTACTGTGCACCCAGGTCCAGGCTGGGCTCTGGGGAGGAAACTTGAAGGGTCTGGAATTTAAGAACCAGAGAATGAGACTCGGGGTGGTCAGTGATGTATGAGAGAGCTCTGGGGCCGCAGGAGATGGGAGAGACCTTCGGGCCAGCCTGCAGGGGGTGAGGCCGGGCAGCCCATGAGGATACCTGGGCTGAATCCTGAAAGAGGAGTTAGCTGAGGGAAGGGGACAGCACTCCAGGTGGGGGTCTGCAGGAAAAAAAAAGAGGTGGGATCTGGCAGGTCTGGCTAACTGAGGCTCCAGGTGCAAGGACGGGGACGAGGCAGGAGGGCACTGAGTGCAGGGTCAGGTGCCGGGCCCTGGGGAGCTAGGACGGACGGGCAGGGGAGGGACCTGTCTCGGCGCAGAGGTGTGCTGGGACACCAGAAATGAGGGCGTGGGGGGCAGACGGGAATCTGGGGTGGGGCTTGCCGTAGAGACATCTGGGCAGAGCTGTCGGGGAGCTGAGGTTCCGAGGAAGCCGTGTGGACAGGCCTTAGGCTGGGCCAGACGGCGCTGAGGGACCCAGCAGGACTAGGGGGTGCTCGGGTGTGGACAGGCCTTAGGCTGGGCCAGATGGCCCTGAGGGACCCAGCAGGACTAGGGGATGCTCGAGCTCAGTCCAGATGAAGCTCTGGGGCTGCAGGCTGGGAGAGGGGCTTCCTATCTGTGCCATGTGGGGTTTCAGAATTAAGGGGAAAGCACCCCAGAGAACCTCAGTGCCCAGCCCCACCCGTCTCTCACCCACTCACCCCACTCAGGTCAAAGAGGGCTTCAGAAGTCCCTTGAGGGTTGTAGGATAGCACATGGATGTTGGCCAGGATGGAGATGGTGGCCTTCTTGCTCTGGAGCGTGATCGTGGGTGCCTCCTTCACCCTCAGTGACAGCAGGAGGTGCTGGTCTGGGGGCAACTTCCCCAGGGCCTGGGGACACATGGGCAGAATAGGAGACATGAGGGCAGCTTAGAGGCTGGTGTTTGAGCCCATCAGTCAGTCAGCAAACACTCATTGAGCATCTAACAGGCACCGGCCCCAGGCTAGGCACTGAGATTACAACCTGAACCGGACAAGTCGAGTCTCAGCCCCATGAGACTGGCATTCAGTCGGGGTGACACCAGCCTGTGGAACACCAGATCAGATCCCCATCCCATCAGATCCCCATCTCACACAGAGTCAAAATCCTCCCTGAGGCCGGCAGGGCCGATGTAATCCAATCTGGTCTTCTCTCCTGCTCACTGCCTCACCAGCCACTCCTGGCCCCTCCTCTTCCCCTCTCCAGACTCACTGGCCACCTGTGAGTGGCTGTCCTTTCAACCTGCCAGGCACGCTGCACCTCAGGGCCTCTGCACCCGCTGTCTCCGCTCCCTGGGCATGGCCCCCCAGGTTCTCTCCATCACCTCCTCTGACCCTCTGCTCAGAGGGCACCTCCTCACTGAGGCATCCCACTGCACCCTGTTCCAAAGCACTGCCCGGCCCTGCTCACCTGTGTCCCCCACCCATTCTCTTCCACCCTCCGATGCTGTTCGCGTCCTTTTTAATGTGGGCAATGTCGGTCACTCCTGCTGGATGGCAGCTCCCTGAGCTCAGGGCCTCTGTCTACTTGTCCCTGCTTGTCCTTCTGCAGCCCCAGGTCTGGGTCTTTCCCTGTGCCAGCGCAGGGCCTGGTGCAGTACAGGTGCTCGATGGAGGTCAGCTGACTGGCTGAACGAGCCACGCCAGTGGGACTGGAACGTCGGAGTCTTGTCATGATGCCATCATGGCCATACAGAGTGGTGGGAGTCGTGGGGAAAGCAAAGGCTTCAGCCTCCAAGGACAAGGGATGTGGCACAGGCTGTCTCCATAGATCCCCGTTCCCTGCCATCGTCACTCCCCAGCCCTCCTACCCTCCTACAGTTCCTGCCGTCAGGAGGATCTATGACTGTCACCCTAATCCTGTCCTTCTTTGAAACTCCCATGCCCTTCAGCCGAGTGACTGCAAGGTGAGGCCCCTCTCTCACCTTGCAAGGCTGCCTTGAATCACCACTTGTAAGGACTCACAGAGCTTGTCCTCTGGACCCCAAAACTCAGCTGCCCCCTCCATCTTGTCTGACAAAATCCTATGCCCTCTGGGTCTGTCTTTTCAAATTTTGCCAGAGGGGACATGCACTTCCAGAGAGAGACAGAGAGAGTGAGGGGGAAAGTGAGAGAGTGAGGGGGAAAGTGAGAAAGTACCCACCCCAAGGAGAATGGTTATGCTGCAGTCCCTTCTCCTCTGTTTCTCCCTCCTTTGGGGATTTTGGATACACATGCACACATGCCTGGTGTGTGTTTTATCTGCCAGGCCTGGGACTCAAACTATGCAGTAGGCTATGAAGAATCCAGCTGCCTTAACCACTGTGCCACCAGCTAGCCCACCTCCTTCCAACATCGATCAGAATTTGCTATTACATAAAGACCTTGTAGTAATCATTTGAACTTCAGTACGAATTCAGATTCTCACAGCTGGAAGTGGCTGGTCCAGCCCTTGTTGCATGGGCTTCCTGCCCCTTCTCCCTCTTCTCCCCTCTCTAAGACAGTGCCCTGAGTCTTCTCTCTGGGGAAGAGGCAGACTCCCCCGGACAGAAACTAAGATCAGGATGAAGTAAGGCAGTTGGAAGGAGGGGCTCAGTGACCTGGAGAGAATCTCCTGCACTTTGCCTGCTGAGAGGCAATGGCCCGGGGACAAATGCCCAGTGGGCCTTGGAGGCAGCCCCCTCCTGGTTCTCTCCTTCCTAAGCAGTCTGCTCTCAGGACAGGATCAGGCACGAGGCATGCTCACGTCAGCGTCAGTTTGGACCCCCCGCTTCATTGCAGTTGCCTGGAGAGCTGAATTGAGAAGGACTCTGGCGTCCACGCAGGCTCACTGGGCAACAGCCACAGGGACCAAAGCCCAGGAGAGGGCCACTCACCTCAGGGACCAGAGCTGCCAGGCCTGTCGTTGTCAGCGGGACATTGCTTGGAACCTGGCCCGAGACCAAACGGGAGAAGGGTTTGGTGAACTCAGACAGGAAAAGATACCTTCAGCACACATGGAATAATTTGCCTCTCTCCCTCCCCTCTAATCAAACACACACACACGCGCACACAAGAAACTGCCTCTGGGTGGGACTCCTGGACATGGGTTTTCCAGATCCACCAAATGTGAGACGCCAAAGGGGAATCAAGGGGCCCCAGAAGCTACAGAATGAATGTACGAGTGACCTTCGGTACAGTCCGACCCTCATTTTCTCTTCTCCAACTCAAATCTGCTCTTGAAACATAGAGGGAATGTTAGCCATTCACAGTGTAGCATAAAACTGGGCTTAAACTCAAAAGAGGCTTCTCTGGGAAGCTGGCTCCATTTCATATGCCGGCCTAACCCATTGAAAGTGGCTTCCTCAGGGCCGGCAGGAGGCGTGGTTAAGGGTGCAGGACTACCACATGGTCGGTCACAGTTTGAGTCCCAGACCTGGTGGCTTACTTTCTCATTTTCTCTGTCTCTCCCACTTGCTCTTGCTCTGTCCCTCTCAGATCAAATTAAAATAAGTAAATAAATGAGGGCTAGCAGGTGGCATGGTGGTTAAGGGCACTGGACTCCCACATGGCCGACTATGATTTAAGTCCTGAACCTGGCAGCTTGCTTTCTCACTTTCTCTCTCTCTAGCTCTGTCCCTCTCTGGTCAAATAAAAATAAATCAATAAAGTTAAATAAAATAATTCTTTTTTAAAAAAAAAAAGTAAATAAATGAATAAAGTTCAATAAAAAATAATTCTTAAAAAAAAAAAAAGAAAAGAATGTGACTTCCTGGAATCCCCAGTTGAAAAGGATTCAGAGGTGCCATTCAGGTTTCAGTAAGCAGAGGCCATTAAGAGTTGCAATGTCCTGGACCAGCAGGTGGTATAGTTGTTAAGGCACTGGACTCCCACATGGCTAACCACAGTTCAAGTCCGAGACCTGGCAGCTTGTTTTCTCACTTTCCCTCTCTCTCTCTGGTGAGGGCATGTGCCCTATAACAAATTTTAAAATAATAAATTAAATTAAATAAATATTTTTTTAAAAAAAGAGTTGCCATGTCCACATGTCCGCCCCAAGTGTGGGAGTGGGCAGCAGTAGGGTCTGCACATAGGTGTGTCCGACTTTCTCCTAGGACAGAGAGGAGGCCCAGCCAGGCTGACCAGCGATGATGGGACTTGGTGAGCACAATGCCAAGGGCCGGCAACGTCTCCAGGCTCTGCCCAGCTCCCCGTCCGCACTCACCAGGTCAGGGGTGATGTCTATATCGAGGGCGCCGGTGGTCTGCAGGAGCCCAAACACGGTGTTGAAGAGGTACAGTGGCACTGTCACCTGGGATGTGTGGTCCTGCTTGGGGGGCACCTTGACCGGCATGGGGGGCTTGGGGAAGTCGATGATGTCGCCAGCTACACTCTTCACAATGGGCTGCAGGGCCAAAGACAGGGCATGAAGCATCTCAGGGCTGCTCACCCACCCAGCCTTGACCTCCCCACTCACTACCCCACCCACCCCTGCTAGGGACAGGTCCCCACGGGCACTCACGTTGATGTCCAGCTCAATGTACTGGTTAGAGATGAGAGGCAGTGTGGCCAGGGTGAATTCCACAGATCCGAGAGCCCCCATGGGCACCAGGCCTACGTGGAAAGGCCAGGGAGAAAGACCCCATGAGCTCAGTCCCCAGTAACAACAGCTCTACTTCTGTTTATTGAATGCTTAGCATTATACTAAGAGTTTGCTTGGGTGCTACTGTCAATCCCATTTCACAGAGGAAGAAACTGAGGCTCAGAGGAAGTCACCAGCCCACGTGCACAATCACAGAGTGGCAAGGCCAGGATTCCCGTTTCCCAGGGCTGGAGTCCTGCGTCCTCTGCGTAATGCCGCACATGGAGACATCCCCACCCCAAGTTCTCCTTTTCCTGTGCATGCTTTCCAAAGCCCTGCTGCGCACACAAGTCTCCCTGGTCTCCCTAAGATGCAGAGAGTCAGGGCTCTGCTGGGGCCGGGGGCCCTGGCTGCATTCCTTAAGCTCTCTGGCCTCGGTGCCCTTGTCTGACTGGGTAATCATGCTACCCTCCCTCTGTTTCCACAGTGCCTGACGCTGGCCTGAGCAGCACCATGTGGGGAACCGGCTGACTCCTGGGCTCCGCACCCCGTGGAACTAGCCTGAGCCCAGCGCTCCTCCGTGAGGCTCCCCCAAGCGCAAGGAGGAAGGAAGAGGTCCCAGGGTCCTGCCCCTTCCCTTCCCCTGAGTACCCTATCCCATTGGGGTAATGGGGTGGGGGGGACAAGATGGGGCAAAGAGGAAGGGTGGGCCCCAACTTACACAGCACGGCCCCCAGGAGTTCATTCACCACGCCCAGCACGCTGTCCACCACGGGGCACAGCTGCAGCCAGAGGAGACGGAGGTCACGGGATGAGTAAGAATCAGCCCTCGCTTGGTGCTGGGCCAGCTGCCTGTCCTTGAAATGCCTTGCTATATGGTGCTGGGACACGGATGAGGGGACACGCGGGTGGGATGCAGGGGAGGGGCTGGAGCTCGAAGAGGTGGCAGGCTGAGCAGCCCAAAGCCACTTCCCTTGTTACATGTGCCCTGTTAGAAAGCCCCAGAGGCTGCTGGGGGAACAGATGAGACATTTTGGAGGCCAGCTGGAGTGTGGGAACAAGGCTGCAGGCCCCTCCTGCCACCACAGGTGGGCCCTGAGAAACCTAGAATCAGACCCTCGGGGGGCGCCTCCACTCTTCCTCCCAGGGTCCGACCTGGGTCCAGGGTATCCACTACACAGACCGAAATCCCCTGAGCTATAAGGACAGGGAGCAGAGACCATGTCTGGGAATCACAGGATCCGAGCCCGAGAGTCTGCCATTGGGACCTCAGAGCTGACCCAGTCTGGCTTCTCGTCCTACAGCTGGGGCCCCCAGAGAAAGGCAGCCTGCCCAAGGTCACAGCTATTTACAGAGAGACCAGAGGGTTGCTGCATTTGAACTTGGAGCCCCAAACTGCAGGAGTCAGGCAAGTTGCAAAAATAGTGGAGGAAACCAGAGAGGCCGGGGAGGCTGGTTAGGGATGGCCCCTCGGCGCCTGCTGTGTGCCACTCACAGGAGGGAGATGCCAGTTAGCCGGGTGGCTGATTGCACAAGCAAAGCCAGAAATCCGGATTGTGGAGCGAAATCGTCAATCTCTATGTGTTGTCAGTGAACTCTGACCTTAAATCCCTCTTTGTGTCACAGAAACCCTACCCTGTCCCTCCATGCAATGGGGCTTAGGCCAGACCCACTCTTTCTCAAGAGTGGCTCATTTCCCCGAAAGATGTCAGGACAGCCAGGACAGGCCATGGGCAAGCATCTTGGAGCAGTTCGCTCACATGTCTTATTTACAATGTCTGAATATATCTGCATGTGATTTTCTAGGTCATCTGCATGATCACCAAACACAGGGCCCAGTTTAAGATCATGAAGAGGCCCAGTTTTAGTTTAAAGCTAAAGTAAAGCAAAACATAAAGCCAACAGTAATAATACAAGTAGCAGGCCCAGCAGGTGGCATAGTGGTTAAGGCACTGAACTCCCACATGATCGACTGCAGTTCGAGTCCCAGACTGGGCAACTTGAAAATCATGCTGGGCGTGTGTGAATGAATGCCCAAAATTCTGAGAGGAGACTGGAAGAGAAGGAATTGCAGCATGGCCATCCTCCCAGGGGACGATCTCTCACTTTTCTTCTCACTGTCTCTCTCTCTGACAAGCATGCACCCTATGACAAAAATCTTTAAAAAAGAAAAAATAATAATACAAGTAGCAAAAAACGAGCAGGGGTGAAAATGAGACCCAGGTTTGGAGCGGAGGCCTCCTGCCATCTGGAACTGGAACTCATCCTGGGAGGTCAGGGGAGGGTTGCACCTGCCCATGGACTAGCCGCAGGGGCCCGCCCCACCCCTGCCCTGGGGAGGCCCATGGACAGGTGGCAGGATGGGATTACCCAGGGGGCGTAGAAGGAAAGTACAGCCTAATCCTGCCTGGCGCCTGGCTTTACCAGAGCTGGGGTGGGGCGTGCCTGGCCCCCACACTCACCAGTCCGGGAAGCACTTTGGGGCAGAGTGAGACATGTAAGGGGGCCGGCACTCAGAGGCAGCTCCCCCCAGACATTAGGGCGGTGGGCACTGGGGCTCTGGCTTTCTCTGATCTGGGACTCTGGGGCCTGAATTTAAATCCTGGCTCTACCTCACCAGGGGACCCAGAGGACGGTTTCAGTTTCCCCATCTATACGATGCCTGCTTTAGAGAGCTGCCAAGCCCGGGGTAAATGGGAGAGTTGGCATGTCGGGTACACAGTCGGCACCCCATGTCTGTCCGCCGTTGCCTCCCCCGATGTTTGTAGACATTCGGGCTTAGAGTAGTGCCTGGCTCAGAGTGAGGGACCGATAAGTACTTAGGGAAGTAATAAATGAGTGGGAGAATGAACAATGGTCGTGAAGGTGGCCTGAGGATGAGAACTGCATGTGGATGGACTCAGGCCTGGAGACCACAGGAGTGCAGAGGAAGGGGGGCGACCTCAGAAGCACACCCCGGGACACCAGCGCCACCTGGGCCCACTCCCTCCACTGCCACCTCTACCCAGATGAACAGGATGGACCCACTGGAGAGTGAGGAGCCCAGAGGCCCCTCCTAGAATCCTATTATGAGGACCCTTCCAGAGATGGGGCTGTAGGTTCCCCACCCCAGGAAGCTGCTCAGAGACACCCCACAAAGATGGGGCAGAGAAGGGGTGGGGCTGGGATTGGGCCTGGAATATAGAAATTCACGGGGGAGATGGATACGGGGGAGGGACAGGGCAGCTGGAGGAGGTGCAGAGCACTGGGAAGACCTGGGCCCTGGTCAGAGAGCAGCCCATCCCTGCCTCCAACTGCATGACCATGGGCAGTCCCCTCCCTCTCTGGGCCTTGGCCATCTCATGGGAGTGGCAATTCAGCACAGGTGCAGGGACAGCCACTGTGTCCTGCTGGATGTAAAAGTGCCTCTAGATCCTTAAATCCAGGTCCTCCCTCGGGGTACAGATGAGGACACTCAGGCCTAGTCAGGGGATGGGTTCCCTTCCAGACACAGCAGGCCAGGGCAGAGACGGTCTCTCATGCTCAGAGCAGGGACTGAGATTCCTGCTAATGGAGGGACCCCAGATGATGCTAAGCTGGATCCATGTTGGGGAGGGGACAGACAGCAGCACTGGGGGGGAGGGGCGGGTGACAAGCAAGACGTCCAGGAGTGGGTGGGCAAGCCATGGGCTGGGCCGGAATCCCTGTCCATGGTGGGTTCAGTCTGACCTGTGCAGCGGGTAGAACCCGGCTGGGCCAACGAATGGCTGGGATGAGTTCAGACCCCAGGTCACCATTTCAGGGGGACTAAGGTGGAAGGGGTGAGGCCAGGAGGCGCCCAGATGCATGTGAGACATGAGACAGGAGACAGTCGGGGCGAGGGTGGCGCCGCTGTGCCTGCAGACTCACCCCGACAACAGGCTGATGTGGCCCAGGAGCGTGCTGCAGCGCTTGAGGACCAGGGTGGGCGTGCCCCGCGAGCTCACGCCCAGCCCCACCCGAGATGACACGTTCACTTCCACTTCCAGCTCCAGGAGGCCCCCCAGGGGGCTGCAAGATCCGATACTGAGGGCGTGGCCAGGCGGCCAAGGCCCCACAACACACACAGCCACCATCAGGCCCAGCCACACCCATCCCAAGACTGGAGGAGCTGAGTGGCGTGACCTGAGAGTGGTCTTGCCCCGCCTGGCCGACCTCTCACCCCGGTATCCACATCTTTGCACCCTCTTTGTCCCGGTGAGCCCTGGGCAGTGGGGTAGGGCCCAGAGGAAGAGTGGAGGAGGTTCCCTGGGGCAGTGGACTGGAGGTCCCTGGGGAGGGGCAGTGGGGGAGGGGCAGGCAGTAGGATAGGAGTCCACTGGGGGGGAGGTAGGGTGGGGAGGAATTGGAGAAGTGGGGTAGTGGTGGGGCACAGCCGGATAGGGGTCCACAGGGGCACACTCACCCAGAGCCATGCAGGCCCACCTTGGTGTGGAGGTTCAACTGTACCCCGAATCCCGGCAGCAGCTTCAGTGATACCTTGGGCAGCATAAGTTCCTCAATCTTCAGCCTGGGTGGAAGTGAAGGAAAGGAATGCTCACTCCCAGAGACCGCAAGTACCTGGACCCTTTGGACCGGGTGAGACCCTGAGTCCCCTGTCTCACGCCGTAGAGCCAACTGGGAGCCTTCAGGCCAGTTCCTGTAGCTCTCTGGGTCTGGGTTTTCTCAGCTGGAAAGTGTGGTACTAGTACCCTTGTAAGAAAGTTGCAAAGACAAATGAGATGACGTAGGTGAGGAACCTGGTCCAGCACGCGCTGGATAAATGTAGGATGGAATATGATAATATTTCGTGAGCGTTCCGTGTGTGCCAGCCTGTTTTCACTGCGTGACAACAGACTAACTCGGCGTCCTGCCAGCAACCCCATGATTGTCTGCTAACGGTGCAGCCAGGTGGCCCGCACACCAGCTCTGCCACTAGCTGACTGTGTGAGCTTGGGCAAGTCACACTCATGCTCTGTGCCTCAGTTTCCACATCTGTAATACAGGGAATGACGACACCTAGCACGGTGTGACACGTAGTGAACCTCAGGCAGCATCCACTGTTACAGCCCCTTTTCCAGACGTCACGTGTTGTTGGGGGAGGTGACACTCACTCCCCCTCTTCCACTCCTGGCACTCCATTTTCTCCTGTCAGAGGACCCTTTCTCATACCCTGGCTCCTGGACTTCAGCCTTCCCTGAGGCCTGCAGTTTGCCCTTCCTCTGATTCACCAGCAGCCATGGATGGTTTCCCTGCGATTAAACACACAGACGCCTTCCCCCTCCTACCCCAGTTGAGTGAGCTCGGCCAGGTCACTACCAGCCGGGCCTCGTTCTCCTCACCCGTTAAATGCAGTTGGTCCCTTAGACTGAGGTGGGTAATTCATTTCCAATGATTAGCATGGTGCCAAGTACTCACGAGACTCTGGGTACGTGTTTATTAATTTGTAACTATATAAATATGAGAGGACTTTGTAAAGCTCATGGAAGGGACCAGAATCCCGGCAGCAGCTTCAGTGATACCTTGGGCAGCATAAGTTCCTCAATCTTCAGCCTGGGTGGAAGTGAAGGAAAGGAATGCTCACTCCCAGAGACCGCAAGTACCTGGACCCTTTGGACCGGGTGAGACCCTGAGTCCCCTGTCTCACGCCGTAGAGCCAACTGGGAGCCTTCAGGCCAGTTCCTGTAGCTCTCTGGGTCTGGGTTTTCTCAGCTGGAAAGTGTGGTACTAGTACCCTTGTAAGAAAGTTGCAAAGACAAATGAGATGACGTAGGTGAGGAACCTGGTCCAGCACGCGCTGGATAAATGTAGGATGGAATATGATAATATTTCGTGAGCGTTCCGTGTGTGCCAGCCTGTTTTCACTGCGTGACAACAGACTAACTCGGCGTCCTGCCAGCAACCCCATGATTGTCTGCTAACGGTGCAGCCAGGTGGCCCGCACACCAGCTCTGCCACTAGCTGACTGTGTGAGCTTGGGCAAGTCACACTCATGCTCTGTGCCTCAGTTTCCACATCTGTAATACAGGGAATGACGACACCTAGCACGGTGTGACACGTAGTGAACCTCAGGCAGCATCCACTGTTACAGCCCCTTTTCCAGACGTCACGTGTTGTTGGGGGAGGTGACACTCACTCCCCCTCTTCCACTCCTGGCACTCCATTTTCTCCTGTCAGAGGACCCTTTCTCATACCCTGGCTCCTGGACTTCAGCCTTCCCTGAGGCCTGCAGTTTGCCCTTCCTCTGATTCACCAGCAGCCATGGATGGTTTCCCTGCGATTAAACACACAGACGCCTTCCCCCTCCTACCCCAGTTGAGTGAGCTCGGCCAGGTCACTACCAGCCGGGCCTCGTTCTCCTCACCCGTTAAATGCAGTTGGTCCCTTAGACTGAGGTGGGTAATTCATTTCCAATGATTAGCATGGTGCCAAGTACTCACGAGACTCTGGGTACGTGTTTATTAATTTGTAACTATATAAATATGAGAGGACTTTGTAAAGCTCATGGAAGGGACCAGCAGATGGTGTAATGGTCACGTTGTTGGACTCCCGTGGCCGACCAAGTTTCCAGCCTTGGACTCAGAGGCTTGAGGCACTCCTGGCATGTGTGTGTGCATGCCCAAAATCTCAAGAGGAGAATTGAGAAGAAGCCACAGCATGGCCATCCCCCCCTGTGTGTGGGGGCGTGATTTCTTGCTTTCTGTCTCTCTCTGCCCAGTGAGCATACATGTGCCCTATAGCCAAAAAAGAAAAAAGAATCTCTCTCTCAAAAAAAAAAAATTAATTAAAAATAAAGAAACCATGGAAATATAATAAGTTTATTTTGGTAAAAACTAAAAATAAACATTCAAGCATAGTTTTTTCATTATAGTCTATTTCCACAAACTTTTCAAAGACCTCCCCCTTGTATTAGCCATTATGTGTTTTCATTCAGTCATTCCAAAAATTTGTAAGCATCTATTAAATGCCAAACTCTATTTATGACACCAGGTCATGACCTTGAACAAACCATATAAAAATCCTACCCCTCCTGCGTTTATAATCTACCGGGGAAAACAAAACACAAACCAATAAAACATCTGATGTGCAGAGGCGTGATAGGCCCAGTAGAGAACTGGAAGGCAGGGGAGGGGTGGGCGGGGAGACTCAGGGCAGGGCTCTGCTTTGAGCAGACGCCTGAAGGAGATGGCAGAGGGAGCCCTGACGACACCTGGATTAGCCCCGTGAGCCTAAGCAGTTTGTCCCAGGCCACACAGGGAGCAAATAAACTTGACCCCAGCTGGAACCCTCCACACGGGAGCACACAGCCACTCTTGTCCGCCAGGCCCACAGGAGAACAGTTAGACCACCACCTTTCCCCTCTACCTTCACTGCCAGCAAATTAAGAATCATCAATATTACCTCCTTTTCCTGACGTAAACACAAGCCGAGCCTTTCTGGGGGTGTGTAACAGGTGAGCTGATGAAAGGCCGCAGCAGACTCACCCCGAGAGCTCTTGCACGACTCCAAAAACCCCTCCATAGCTCAGCAGGCCACCTCCTCCAAGCAGCCCTCCTGAGCCCAAGAGGCCCTGGTTCACAGATGTGACAGTCCCCAGCACATTCTGCAGAATGGGTCCTCCGACCAGCGAGTTCTGGATGGCTGTGGAAAGTGGGAGTAGGAAGGTGTTGAGAGTCCTTCCCCGATCCCAGGACCATGGCACTTCCCTGGCTCCTCTGAGCTTGAGCAAACCTCTTTTTGAAACGAAATTGACCCAGACATTAGACTCAGACGGTGGAGCCCATTGAACCCTAACAGCTTCCTACTACCCCCACAGAACCAGTGGCCACCCTCCCGGCCTGGCACACGGGAGGTACTCAGTGTTTGTGGAATGAATGAGAGAAGTCCATGCTAATCCCTTCATTTTCAGGATGGGGAAACTAAGGCCCAGGAGGGCGGAGATTTGCTGACCCCATACAGCAAACTGCCTCTGGGCCAATAGCATGACCTGGGCTCCCAAGCCTGGGCTGGCCTGCAGCATGGATGCAGAGAGGAAGGAGCTCAGAGGCATGGGTGCCTGATTAGATAGACGAGGTGATCCCCGCTCCCTCCAGGGCACCCCAGTCCTGACTCTGTGTGCACTATAAGTAAAGGGCAGAGTGGAAGGTTAGGAAAGGCCAGGGTGGCTTCCTGGAAGCATTGCTATCCACGACTGCTCTTACTCCGTCCCTGAGTTTCGCCCAGAAGCCCCAGGTGCCAGGTCCAGCTCCTCCAGTGGAGAAATGTGGGGCAGACACTGGCTCCACCATGCACCCCCAACCTCCTCAGCCCTGCCCAGGCTCTGCCCCTGAGCCACATGCAGTCACCACACAGCCCAAGTCCACATCCCCAAATCCCTCTCTCAGAAGCTAATTAGTCGCCCGATCATGCCTGCGAGCAAAGCTTAGCCTCCCGAACGGCCTCTGCTGTTCCCCAGCCTGGAGAGCATAACATCTAAGCAGCTGCTCTCAGCTGCCCCTCAAAGCAAACCACTACCCTGTGGATGGGGTTGTTGGCCCTGCAACCAGGACTGCCAGCCTTGGGCTCACCTTTGCCCAGTTCATCCTTGTCAATCCGAGCGAGTGTGCCAACCGTCTCAAGAAGCCCCTGGCATGGAGTGGCCAGGCCCCAGAGCAGAAGCAGGGACCCTACGCCCACCATCATCTGCTGCACACCTGTAAGGGGTGGACGCAGGAACGTGAGAACCATCCTGCCTAAACCTTCCCCCTCCCTGTCTCCCACCACCAGCCTGGGGCCTCCCGCCCCCCAGCACAGCCCAGGTCCAGCCTCACTCCCAGGAGAGCCCTCTCCGTGACAGTAAGACAGCGGCAGCACAGTGCAGCTGCCACAGTGCGCCAGCCCCCCAGCTCCCTCCGGCTTCTCCTTGGTCGGGTTCCAGTTCACAGATGGGAACACAGAGGCCACGAGAGAAAGAGGGGGCTGTTGGAGTCACAGAGCTCATCTGTAGTAGGGCCAGAATTCAATCCGAGTCTTAGTCCTCTGAGGCCCCTTTGAGCCTGGCCCAACATCGAGCGAGAGCTGCCAAGGCGTCTCCTCTTCCAGGGTGGCAGGACGGGAGCTCTGTGTCCTGCATCTGCTTTTCCTCTGGCTCATGAGGCCATCTTAGAAGGTGTGGCCTGGGGCCGCCTGGTGGTCTGATGGTTAATGCATCTGAATCCCATATGGTAGACTCTAGTTCGAGTCCTGAATCCAGTGGCTTGAAAAGCATGCCAGGCACATGTGTGTGAGTACTGAAATTCTCAAGAGGAGAATAAGGGAGAAGTCATTGTGGCATGGCCATCCCCCTTAGGGGGTGATTTCTCACTTTCTCTCTCTCTGACTTTCTCTGGCAAGTGCACATGCCCTATAGCAAATTAAAAAAGGAAAAATAAAAAGGTGAGGCTGGCTGACTGGGAGTGTCCAACATGTAGACTAAGGTGTCCAGTCTCTCTCTTCCTCCTCTATGGACATCCCAGATGGTGTTGAAAAAGAAAATCGGTGGGTAGGGTATGGAGTGGTTAGATCACCTGGATCCCACATGGCTGACCATGCAGTTCAAATCCCAGCCCTGGTAGTTTAAAAAACACACTGGACACTTGTATGTGTGTCCCAAACCCCAGTTGGATGGAGAAATACAAGAGACAGGACTGGCGTGACCAACCCCATTTGTATGTGTGTGTGTGGGGGGGGCTGTCCATTTGCGTGTGGCCAGTTGGTCCTTCCTCTCTTCTCTCTGAGTGTGCGTGCCCTCTAGCAAATAAACTAAAAAAAAATCAAAAGGAATGGGATGGGTGTAAGTCTCATGGAGTAAGATTTTCCTTCATGAAGTTCCATGTCTGTCCATCCAATCACATCCCCTCTATCTCATGTCACCTCGCAGAGTTAAATCTTTCAGTGGTTCCCCACTGCCCTTGGGGTAAACCCCAGGCTCTTTGCGTTCACCCACAAAGTCCATGCTGTTTCTTTGGCTTCCTCCCTCTTAAACATGTCAATGTCCTCCCACCTCAGGGTATTTGCATATGCAGTTCCTTAGGTTAGGAAGGCTCTTTGCATGGCTAACTCCTCATCCTTCAGTTTCCAAATAATTGTCCTCTCCCTGTGGATTCCTCCCTACTTTACCTTGTCTAAAGAAGCCCCTTTTGTCACTAATCATTACCCGGAATATTTCTTTTAAGTGCTTGGCCACATGCAGTCACCACACAGCCCAAGTCCACATCCCCAAATCCCTCTCTCAGAAGCTAATTAGTCGCCCGATCATGCCTGCGAGCAAAGCTTAGCCTCCCGAACGGCCTCTGCTGTTCCCCAGCCTGGAGAGCATAACATCTAAGCAGCTGCTCTCAGCTGCCCCTCAAAGCAAACCACTACCCTGTGGATGGGGTTGTTGGCCCTGCAACCAGGACTGCCAGCCTTGGGCTCACCTTTGCCCAGTTCATCCTTGTCAATCCGAGCGAGTGTGCCAACCGTCTCAAGAAGCCCCTGGCATGGAGTGGCCAGGCCCCAGAGCAGAAGCAGGGACCCTACGCCCACCATCATCTGCTGCACACCTGTAAGGGGTGGACGCAGGAACGTGAGAACCATCCTGCCTAAACCTTCCCCCTCCCTGTCTCCCACCACCAGCCTGGGGCCTCCCGCCCCCCAGCACAGCCCAGGTCCAGCCTCACTCCCAGGAGAGCCCTCTCCGTGACAGTAAGACAGCGGCAGCACAGTGCAGCTGCCACAGTGCGCCAGCCCCCCAGCTCCCTCCGGCTTCTCCTTGGTCGGGTTCCAGTTCACAGATGGGAACACAGAGGCCACGAGAGAAAGAGGGGGCTGTTGGAGTCACAGAGCTCATCTGTAGTAGGGCCAGAATTCAATCCGAGTCTTAGTCCTCTGAGGCCCCTTTGAGCCTGGCCCAACATCGAGCGAGAGCTGCCAAGGCGTCTCCTCTTCCAGGGTGGCAGGACGGGAGCTCTGTGTCCTGCATCTGCTTTTCCTCTGGCTCATGAGGCCATCTTAGAAGGTGTGGCCTGGGGCCGCCTGGTGGTCTGATGGTTAATGCATCTGAATCCCATATGGTAGACTCTAGTTCGAGTCCTGAATCCAGTGGCTTGAAAAGCATGCCAGGCACATGTGTGTGAGTACTGAAATTCTCAAGAGGAGAATAAGGGAGAAGTCATTGTGGCATGGCCATCCCCCTTAGGGGGTGATTTCTCACTTTCTCTCTCTCTGACTTTCTCTGGCAAGTGCACATGCCCTATAGCAAATTAAAAAAGGAAAAATAAAAAGGTGAGGCTGGCTGACTGGGAGTGTCCAACATGTAGACTAAGGTGTCCAGTCTCTCTCTTCCTCCTCTATGGACATCCCAGATGGTGTTGAAAAAGAAAATCGGTGGGTAGGGTATGGAGTGGTTAGATCACCTGGATCCCACATGGCTGACCATGCAGTTCAAATCCCAGCCCTGGTAGTTTAAAAAACACACTGGACACTTGTATGTGTGTCCCAAACCCCAGTTGGATGGAGAAATACAAGAGACAGGACTGGCGTGACCAACCCCATTTGTATGTGTGTGTGTGGGGGGGGCTGTCCATTTGCGTGTGGCCAGTTGGTCCTTCCTCTCTTCTCTCTGAGTGTGCGTGCCCTCTAGCAAATAAACTAAAAAAAATCAAAAGGAATGGGATGGGTGTAAGTCTCATGGAGTAAGATTTTCCTTCATGAAGTTCCATGTCTGTCCATCCAATCACATCCCCTCTATCTCATGTCACCTCGCAGAGTTAAATCTTTCAGTGGTTCCCCACTGCCCTTGGGGTAAACCCCAGGCTCTTTGCGTTCACCCACAAAGTCCATGCTGTTTCTTTGGCTTCCTCCCTCTTAAACATGTCAATGTCCTCCCACCTCAGGGTATTTGCATATGCAGTTCCTTAGGTTAGGAAGGCTCTTTGCATGGCTAACTCCTCATCCTTCAGGTTCCAAATAATTGTCCTCTCCCTGGGGATGCCTCCCTACTTTACCTTGTCTAAAGAAGCCCCTTTTGTCACTAATCATTACCCGGAATATTTCTTTTAAGTGCTTGTCATCATTTGCGATTATGCGGTATAGGAGTCCTCATTTGCCATCTCTATGGGCTCTGAGAGGACTGGGACTGTGCTAGGACCTCCCTCCGCATGACTGTGTGCCAGAAGGGAGGGCACTGAGGGGGCCAGAGATAGACCTGGACCACCCTTTACTTGGTACAGGCTGTGTCTGCCCAGAGAAGGCTTTCTCTGTCGCACAAAGGTGCCATGTGGTGCCCGTGGACCCGCAGCAGTTCAGGCTGTGTCTGGACTCACTCCAGAGTAGCTCCCTAAAACCCCCTGGGGTCTCTCCCAGAAGGAAATACCCACATGATGGGAAGCCAGTCGGGTCCCATGGCTTAGGGCAACACAGACACCCCCCTATAACCCATCCACAGGGCAACTCTGTCTCAGCCTACCCGACCCTTCCACGAACTGTACAGCAAGCCTTTGCTCCTCTCTGGGCTCCTGCTCCCTCCCTGTCCCCCAGTCCCCTCCCAGGGTGAATTCCTTCTGTGGCCATTATTCAAATGGGAGAGCAGAGAGCCCTGGGGAGCAAGACAGGGCCCGCTGCCCCGAGCTGCCTTACCCACTTGCTCCTGCAGCTCCACAAGGGGCGGGTGGGGGTTCCCAGCCTCCTGTCGGTACCTCCACACCCTCAAGCCCGAGGGCGGCCTTATATGCCACAGCAGCTCTGGGTACACAAAGGGGGCTCCATCGCCAGAAACCCGTCAATGTGTCATGTCAGAAGCAAATTGCGGTTTTCCCTGAGGGCCTGGGCTAAGCCTTCCTCCTGGGAGAAGAGTGAGGGGGCTGGGGTCAGTGCCCAGGGGCGGAAGTGAAGCGTGGGGGCTGCAGAAACAGCCACCTCCTCCAGAGTGGGGGCGGAGCTCTGCCACCCCCCATTAAGTCACCTATTGGGCTCCTTCCAGGGCTCCCTGAGAGCCACCTCAATGGAACAAAATGCACCCTGCCTCCGCTAGTAGCCCACACCCCCTGACAAAGCCCCAGGGAGGGAAGGAAGGGACTCACACTGCTGGGCCTCAGGATCCTCTCCCACCCCACCCCACCCAGCTTAGCATGGAGATGGCCACGGGCCTGAGCCTAGAGGGAGCATTCTGGGCCAACAGAAGGGTGTCAATGCCACCCCCAAGGCCCAGCATCCCCAGGGCAGGCTGCTCTGTCACCTTTCTGAGGCTGGTCCAGATGGCAATGAAGAGAAATTCATTCATTCACTCCTGCTTGCATTCATCCATTCTACAACAGGCATCTATGAAGCATCTGTTGTTTGCCTCTCTCTCTCTCTCATTTGTTCATGAAAGAACTAGATCAACTTCAAAGGAAAAGAAAAAACAGACAAACCCCCTGCCAGAAGGAGCTGACCAGTAGAAATACAATGCCATTTCAAATTTTCTGATAGCCACATTTTAAAAAAAGGTTAAAAAGAAACAGGTGAATCCCACCTAATAGCGTAGTTTATTGAACTCCGTATATCTAAAATATTATCATTTAACATATAATCAACATAAAATTAATGTGATACCATACTTTTTCTCATCCTAAGCTTTTGGAAAGCCCCCTACAGACACCAAATTTGGAGCCTGCCACATTGCACAGTGTGGCTCTTGGCCATCGGAC